GGGGGGGGGGGGAGGGGGTGGACTGGCAGTGCCTAGTTTGCCTGCAGTCCAGATCCAACTGGTGTTCCTGATCTGGTGCCTGGGTAGGCACACCAGGGACCTCCTGCCCGTGTGTGTGTGTGTGTGTGGGGGGGGGGGCAGGTCACCCCAAAGAAGCACAGGGGACAGGAGTGTGCTCCAGTCCTGTGGAGAGGGACGAGGATGCATGGGGTGGGGGGAGGAAGGACTGGCCCTGCGGGAAGAGGGCTTGCAGCCTGGCCCAGGGACTTGGGGTGGCCATATTAACAGCACTGCTCCCCACCGAAATTCATAACTTGTGGAGGAACCCCACCCTGTGAGCCAAATGTGATGGCTCCACAGGCTATGTTTGGCCCATGAGCTGGAGGCTGAGCACCCCTACTCTAGCCTACACTAAACATTATACTGAAATAGGAATATACTTTATTTCTTTACGTTAGATTTCCCCTCCCCCCATTTTTTAAGAAGTAAAACAGTTCTAGTGATTTAGCTGCAAAATTTGTATGTACCAAATTTATTTTTTAATACTAGCTGAAGTTTAATTTAACTAAAAGTTTGTTTAGCAAAAACATGTGGGAGGTCATTCTTAGTAGTCATTTCTCAGCTCTGAAACCCCCTCCCCCTCGAGGCTCCCTGCTCAACCTTGTTACAGCCCCCCTGTACATATACCGTGATTAGATCACAACGCACATGCCATCTAACAGCATAGCCTCCAAACTGAAAAAGGCTTACAGGGAGTATGTCCTAACCTTATTGTGCTGTTACTTCAAACCACTAGCATGTATCCTAGGGGCGGGCAAAATATGGTCCATGGACTGGATCCAGCCTGCCAGGCCATTTTATTCAGCCCTTCTATCTAATGGCTGCATCACCAGACCAAGAAACATGGGGCCGCACCGGTGTGTGCATGTGTGTTCATAGGCTGAGTCACACACACACCCTTGCACTGTCTTACACACAGACCCACCCCCCACATCCCCCAGGCACCCAGCCCCTCACAAACCCCATACCCACCCACACCCCACATACACACCCCTACATGCTCTCACCCCACATACCCATAGCCCCCCACAAAACTATACCCAACCCCCCACAATATACAAGTCTAAGACTTCATTTTAAGCTATTGTGCAATCACCTGTGTGCACGCTACACAAACATGTGTAAATCAAGACAAAATATTTTTGAAGCCAAATTAATGCATGTTGTAGATGTTTGCTTTTTAGAATATAATTTAGTACTTTTCTGGTTCCAATATGGCAAAACCTCTTGCTGAAAGGAGTACTTCCAGGGGCAAGGGGAGGGACTTCTGGTGGCAAAGGTTAGGGGGCGGGACTTCCAGTCACAAGATGGCAACCAGGGGCAGGGCATCTGTCAAGGGGTGGGGCTACCAATGAGGCCCTTGACAGCTTGCCAAAACTTGGTAAGCGACCCTCCATCCAAAATAATTGCCCGCCCCGATGTATCCTGCTCTCTGCAGCAATGCAAAAAAAAAAAGGTATTCTCGTCTTTATAGCAACACTTCTGATACTTGAAGGCTTCCATCACATCCCCTCATAACTGCTTTGTCCTTGAGCTGAGCATGCCTGTTTCTTTCAGCCTCTCCACATATGGCTTGCTTGCCTTCCAAGCTCTTGATCATTTTTGTCACCCACCTCAGGACACCTCCCACCCAACTTCTCCATGCCCTTTATACTGCCCCTCACCTGAGAGTAGAACTGTAAATATAATTAATAAGCATTCTGATATAGTGGGGGGCACGACAGAAAAAATTATAATTTATTTTTGAGTGTTGTGACCCATGCCTTATTTCCTGCAAATTGAACAATAGATAAAAGAAATAATAAATTGTGTGAATTCAGGGAGTGTCATCTAGCCCGTATACTGCATGAGGCAGGAGTCCTATAAAATAATTAAGATGAATCATGTAATTAAACACCTCTCAAACTCCGTAAGAACAAAAAAGACAGACAAATTAAGGTTGAGCATTTGCCATTTCTAAATGCTCTCTGATCAGTTTAAACATGAATGAAACCAATGGTTTCACCTTCCTTCCTCCCTCTTACATTCCTCACTTTCAACAGAGAACAAAGTGAAACCTTGGATTTAAAATGTAGCCTGCTGCCATTTTTTTTTAGGACCTGCCTCTAACATTCAGCATAAGCCAGTAGGAGTCATGCAATAAGGCATCAAATCTTACTGGACCTGGCACCCATTCAAAGTCAGACTATTTAGTGAAGTACAATAAAAGTCCCTATATTTTATTGCTATTTAAAATCATACTTTTCATCTTAATCTAAAAGCTATTAAAGGAACACTTTAGAAGCTGAAATGTCAAAGTACTCAAATAATTAGAAGTGCCAGAATTAATAGTTACCTGAGCAACCTAAATTATACTCCCCTTGGGCACATGTACTATGACTATCCTTATTTATATATAGGATGATGAGGTTTTTCCATGGGAGCCTTGCCTTGCCTTATTCAGTCTTTGGGATGGACACTGCATAGGAAATGAGGCAGGTATTCAGTTTCTTCTAACCTTAATTCATTGTCTGATTCCATGCTTTTTACAGTCTCTAGTACAGTAGTCACTGTAGTAGGCGACTGTCAAATAAACAGTTAAAATTTACCTTCACAACTTTCCTATGGAAACAGCAAAATATCAGTATTCCATTTTACAGATGGGAAATGGAGACCAAGACCAAGGTAAAACCCACAGACATATCCACAACTTGACTATTGAAAAATCAGATTTGAAATGTCAAGGACATAACTCTTCAAAGTACTTATCATCTCCATAGGAAGAATGTGCAAGTCACCATCTGGATATTAACTAATATTCAAGGTATCCCTGCAAGTTGTGGACTTTGTTTCCCCATCTATATGTTTAAAAATAGAAGGATGAAGCATCTTGTCCAAAGTCACACAAGCAAGTCAGTGGACTAGTTTCACTTAAGAATTTTTGATTATGGACAAGGTAAATAAAGAGTTTGGGCAAGCATGACATTCACTTGAAACAAACCCTAAAAGTTAGTTATGTATACTAGAACATTTATTAACCATGCCCTAATGCCTCTGTGACTTGCTTATAAACAGGGATCCGGGTTTTCCATTTCCCGTGGAAAGACGGAATGAAACAAAGATTTCCCCACTTACTGGAGTAAAACACAAATTTCTTATTTAGCAGAGAAGCCTGTGGATTTTGCAGTTTCGCAACAAGCTCTCTGCAGCCTGGCAGAGTTCCAGGCTGCAGAAGGCTGGGAAGGAGTGGGAGGAAGGCAGTCAGGCAGGGGCACCATGAGCATGTACATGCACATGGCTGCTGGCAGCCTGGAGAGCAGCTCCTGCTGTGGGGGCGAGGGGCAGGGCTGGGGCTGCTGTCCAGCCATGTGGTGCATGGAGACCAAGGCCACAATGCGTGGCTGCAGGACCCCAGCAGGAAGTAGAAAGGGCCCACGGGCAGCTTGTTCAGGGGGGTGGGGGTAGAGCTGGCTCCCCACTGCTGCACACACTCTCGGGGGACAGAGGGGAACCTGCACCCCCCCCTCCAACCTATGCATGGGGGGGGGGGGGCTACCCGCCACGGGCTCAGAATCCCACCCTGCTGTCCTCCCCTGGGACCTCCACAGCCCAGCATGTGAGACCCAGTGCTGCAGGGAACAGCAGAGCCATGCAGGG